TGGAGAAGGCCGTGTAGATGTAAGTGAGGGAGTGCAATTCTGGAAGATATGAGACAGAAAAATAAGGGTGGGAAATTATTTTTGAATAAGATACGATAACATTTAGGCTTAAAATCTTTGGTCGAAAGAACTCTTGCCATTTCTCTAAGCTTCGACATAATCATTCATAGAGCACCGCCTCAACATTTAGGCATCTTAGACTTAGACAAACTTTATTGTCATTTTTTATACTGAGTGTATACAAAACAAATTTTGGTTTATACAACTTTTTCTCCGCTTATATAGCTTTTTCTTTGACCAGCTTTTATCTTGGTCAAAGAACTCTACATTGGACAGCTACTGATATAAAAGACAGCAAACTTTTATATCCACCAACACTGCAGGGTAAAGTCCTTTTTAGTGAAGCCTTAAATAAAATTAAAGAATAACTGGATGTTTATTGGTCTGTATGATACAGAGAGGTTGAAGGTTGTAGGTTATATGCTGGTGAAGACTCTCAGTCATCCCAGAAAAGCAAACAAATAAAATAAAAACAACAAGCATAGACAGGTATGGGATATTGCAGGCCAACAAAGAACCAAAGGACTTCCCATTCCAATGGTGGGGAACCATTCATTCGGTATAATTTGCATAATTTGCACGCTTTCTAACAAGGCGTTATTTGATCCACTCTATAAAGCCTGAACTCAACGATTGATATGACATTTTGAATTGAAAAAGCTTTCTGGATGGAAAGTGAAACCTCTTCAAACTTAGAAACGGAGGCCAGTCGATTGTTTTTTTTTTACTTTTTTGGAGGGTTGTAGAGGTTGTCCTTCCCCAATGTGTTCCTAAACTGCTAGTTGGTTACATTACAAAAATCCTCCTATAAATCCCTCTCCCATGGTAAACAAACACGGTTGTTTGGGAATGAAGCCAGTCATGGCATAAAAACTAGGAGTGCCAAGCATTATGCAGTTTTTAAATGCATTATGCATTTTAAAACTGCAGTTAGCATTTGTAGCGAAGCATGCCGGTTAAAAAGCCAGCTAACACCTGCTAGCCTTATCAGCAGCATAAATATTAGCTTGGATTGTTCTATTAAGAGTGGGTACAACATTAGTCAACATTTACTTGAAGGTAGCCACTAATCTATGTATAAAAATGGTAATAAAAAAATATATAATGAGAAATATGTTACATAACACAAAAACCGCAGGTATAACTGATACTTTGATTAAAAGTAAGTAGATCATCCATCCATTTTCTAACACGCTTATCCCAAGCAGGGTCACGAGGCGTGCTGGTGCATAGCTCAAGCTGTCTACCGGTGAGAGGCGGGGTACACCCTGGACAGGTCGCCATTCCATCGCAGGGCAACAAGGAGACAAACAGGACAAACAACCATTCATACTCACATGAATTTAGAGAAACTAGTTAAACTAACAGTCATGTTTTTGGACTGTGGTTGGACTGTGGTTGACTGTGGTTGTAGTTGGACATTAAGACTCCAACTATTTGTTTACAGGCTATGTACAAGTTTGCTGTAAACTACAAATCTGTGGATGATATATGGACAAAAATGATTCAGAAAGATTATACAACAAACTTTCTACGTATGGAATAGGTATATTTATTATAATATAAAACATGACGATCTAAGACATTTTGGTTTTTCTCTTTCTGCAGTTCTTGTAAGGAAGTTTCACGGTCATGACGGCGCACCTCATGTCCAAAATATCTAAGCAAAGTTGTCTGTCTAGCTTACCTGTTTTCTTGCTAAGTTCTAGAACATGTTTTTATAAATTAACCCCTCACTGTCGTGTTATTCAGAGTATTGACTGTCTTAACCTATAGAGATGTTTTGATAAATTAGATAACATGTCCCCTTAAAAGTCTATTTATCTGTTTAATGTTAATTACAAATAACCACTTTGAATTTTAGGACAGGTTATATATTACCAAGAGTTTATAAACTCTAGGGCTTAATCGATTATTTAAAGAATCGTCAACTATTTTAGTAATCAATTTATCGTTAACTGGAGTATAGAGACTCTAAACATGGCTTTAGCTGACAGGGCGCCCAACTTAAGAGCAGTAATTATATCAAGATTGTAAAAAAAAATATATACAAACATTTTGCATTTAAGATAGAAAAACCATGCGTCTGTCACTATGATCTATCCAGAACTTCTCAAGTGGAATCGTTTGAGTTTCACCTGTTTAATTTAGTGAAAAACCTTCTTTAAAGAAACCTTTGCTATCCAATTATTAATTGATTCCATTTTTAAAATAATTGCTAGTTGCAACCTTAATCAACTCCTCAATTGTAAATGGAAATGTTCTTTTAACACTTTAATCTTAAAGCCAAATTGAATAAAATCTTAAAAGGATAAAATAGCAAAAATGTCCGTTAGTAAACGATAAAGCAAAACGTTACAATGATCCATTTCTGGGGCCTAAAAACTTGAAGAACTATATTTGTTTTTGCATTGCTGTTGACATAATAAGGAAGCTTATTACATTCAACCATTTGCAGGTTGAAGATGTTAGCAGAGAAAGCACCATTCCCACAGAAATGCTAATAAACCAAGAGAAAAGCAATAATTGGGGGTAAGAAAAGATTTTTTAACCACTATTGAGGATGGATTAGGCATATTGTAAAAAGAGCTGGGACTTATTACTGACAGCTTGATAAAACAACTTGGAATCACCTTAAGTTAAATAAAAGAAATCAACACGATCTCCAGGATAATATTGAGGGTTTTTTTTCTATATGTTGGAGATATTTATTCTTTATGTCTTTATCCATTCCCATTGTGTTAATTCCTAAATGTATATTTTTTTGTATTATATGCAAAGTTTATTTACAGATTAATAATTGCTGATTCTATTTATCTTTGTTTTATTATTTTTCTTATTTATTTATTTATTTTTTGTTCTGAGGTATGACAGGAAGTGATGAGAGGCAGGACAAAAGAAAAGTTTGTACTCTTTAATTGTTGGCAAAAATAGAAAACAAACATCCAGAACCATACGACGGAGTATTAGGGCCACACATGAAGAGAAAAAATATTTTTGCCATGACGAGATTAAACTCGACATGTCGAGTTTAAACTCGCCATTTCGAGAATAAAGTTGAAATGTCTTGTTGAGTTTAATCTCGACGTGTCGACTTTAAACTCGCCCTGTCGACTTTAAACTCGCCATTTCGAGAATAAAGTTGATATATCGTGGCGACTTTAATCTCGACATTCCAAAGTTTGGAGAAAAGAGCAACCGCGCTCCACAGCTGCAGTCTGCGTTTTAAGAGTGAAGGTAGTCTTTGACGTGCTGCAACTGTATAATCATCACAGGAAGTACAATTTGACCAAATCATCTACACAAGGCATGTCTGATTCTGGATTCTGTGCATGTAACCTGTGCAGCGGTTGGCTCTCTTGAACTAATTTCAACTTTATTGTCGACACGTCGAGATTAAACTCAACATGACATTTCAACTTTATTCTCGAAATGTCGACTTTAAAGTCGACATGTCGAGTTTATTCTCGTCATGGCAAAAATATTTTTTCTCTTCATGTGGGGCCCTAATACTCCGTCGTAGAACCATCATCAAGCCTAGACATTGACATTTCTTTTTGCCTGCGTATAGAAACTTGACCCCAGTGCCTTAGTAGTGGCTTAATTGGAACTTTAATTGGATGGCAAACAATCACCACTACACTATATTTTATGCCAAATTTAAAACTAAGAATGCAAACTTGATGCATTTGAGTTCCAAGTCAAAATCCTTTCTTTTAAAAGAGAAATAATTAAGTCGTTTGGAGGTAATTAAATAATTATTACAATTTTAAATAATTATAATAGATCATTTATCAGATACTATTAGGTGTTTTTTGTGGCAGGGACTGAAAAACAACTTCTTTAGGAATTTTGGATGAACTTTTCACAGGCTCCCATTATTCCACTTTTATTTATTATCTATGTGTGATTTTTATATCTCTTTTTCCCACTTAAAGTCAACAATAATGTATAAAATATACAAATAAACAAATATGCCAGGGGGTATGTCACAATAAACAAGCATAGTCAGAAGACTGCTTGTTTAGACAACATTAAATTATTTTGTTGTCTCTGCTTTCAGCTTCAAAATGGAGCCGTTATTCTCGGCTGTTTGACACGTTAGATGAAATGCTAGTAGTTTCTTTTATCAAGCACATTTGATTTATAGGTTATGGCTGATCTGAGTAGTTAGTCACAGTTGCAGCAATAACTTGTTAATCTTTGGTCAGGGAGGAAAGGCGGGTTTGAGCATAAAGTATAAAAGGACGGGCCGAACACCTGGCGCTCATTAGCAGGCCGCGTTCACGGTACAAGTTCCAAGTATCGGATTATTTTACTCCTAATCGGTACACAACAACTGGACTTCGTCTAATATGATTAAACATTCCGCGTTACTCGGTAAATAGCACAAAAAACATTACTTGAGAGGAATTATTTTTAACGACGTCACCTCAGTTATTTTTTACTTTCACTTTTAACAAAAGCGTCAGCATGTAAAAAATACAAGAGAAATTACCGCTTTTCACGGTGAAGATTGTTCCACAAAGGTAAAGAAATGTCAGGGGACCCATTCTGACACCGAACCGGGTTTGGATCTTCAGCAGGATAGTTATTTTTTCTGTTTATGTTTTTTTCGCCCGCGATGCCCCGATGTGGAAGCTTGGTCTACTTCCGCCTCACGCGATGCGTTCAGGGTCCGTCAATCAATTCCCATTAAAGACATATTCAACTCGCATTAATGCAGTTTTTCATTTGCAACAGTGTATGGATATTTATTTTTCTAAAGAAACAATTCAACAGTGTGAGAACAGTTTCATTTTTTAAAATATTTTTAATTTTTTGCATTTGATTATGTCACTAATATAAAGTTTGGATTAGGAAAACCAAGATTTTAATACAATAAACTTACATCTCTCTGTTACCAGTAAAAAAAAAAAAAAAAAAAAAAAAAAAAAGAAAAGACATTTTTCACAATTTGCATCTGAAAGCAAAGAGTCAATTAGGAAACTGGGCTAAGCTGGGGTGTTTGACATGGATACGTTATAAATAAATGTTACCATTTTTTTTTACTTCATTAAATAATAACTTTAAATTTCTTAAACAAATATTACAATATGCGTGTAATTATAATAACTGTTTTTCATCAGCTTTGATTGTATAACAGCCACATATTTGCCTTAATTAAGACGTCATAAGAGATGTCAAAGATTTTAATTGACGAAAAACACTGACATTTATTGTACATATGAAGATTGAAACTATGATTTTATTTTTTCGGTTTGCTACATGCATTTATTAACCCTGTCAAGGAGAGTGCAGAGATTTGTATTTTAGAGCAAGGGGATTCTGAATGATAAATGAGCAAAAATGATGGAATAAGTAGCTAGATCAATAGCATAAGTAGACCCAGTTCTAACCTTAGATTCTGCTAATGGGCAAATATTTTCTTAAGTAACAGCACAAATAGGCTTAAATGTGGTTTTCTAGACCCTGATGACTTAGAATCTGCTCAGGCAATTTTCAGGCAGGGTAGCTTATTCTATTCGTCCTTTATTTTCCTAATTTCAGTCAATACTGCACACAATGACCAGTGATAGTTCTGGATTGAAAATAAGTGGAAAAACAAAAACTTTCAAAGATCCTTAGAAAGTCTAGAGAAATATTACGCACAAATTCCAAAAGATTACAAGTACTGAACATAGTTTTGTTATTAGTTTTGCATTTTTCCTTTTAAAGAAGAGTTTATATTATGCAAAAACCTATTGGTTGCAGTTTTCGTTTAATTCTATTCCTATGACTGACCTCTTGTCAGGCTTTTGGAAATTTCTCTAAATTCTAAAATAAACAACAAAAAGAAATAGTTCATCTGCAGTAAATATTTCATTTTTCTACGAACTCCTAACAGTCTTATTAAGTTTCCCATATTGCTCTGTTGTGGCTTATCTTTGATGACACAAAAAAGGTCCACAAAGGCCACAGATGCACCATGGACAAGTAATTTATGTAGGAAAAAGAAAAATGTTCCAGGTAAACTCCTTCAGTTTTCTTAATTTATTTCTCCTGAGGCAAGCAAACTGAAAAGGACAAACATTTCCTCCATGCTTCATTTGCACTGGTAAAAAATCATATGCCTACCTAGATGCATGCTGGTCCTGCCATTGATAAGCCTATTTATCAATGGTAGGACCAAGATTCCTTAGACAAGATTTTTTTTTCATCATTCTGCTTCTCCCACTCTGCAGAATCTGTTAGTTCAATCTCTAACATTAGGTTCTCTCTGCTTTTTCTCATAGTAGCTTTGCCTCGTCTGTTCCTGTTTGGCTGTGACTCCATCCTGGAGAGAAATATCAGCTGTGCTGCTGCCATTAACACCTTTGTTTATAGATGTTGGAGATCGGCCTGTTTTCCAGTGTAGTCCTGTTTCTCTGACTGTGACTGGCTGGATGTGCTCTCTTCCTCGTCTAACATGGGAGCTGGCTCTGAGCTTGTCTGCATGGCTGTGTGTTTCCTGGATGGGGCCGTCTTTTACAGTTTTTTTTTTTTTTTGTATTTCTGCTTCTTCTCCTTGAACCCCAGTCGGCCTCAGCAGATGGCCGCTCACACTGTGCCTGATTCTGCTGGAGGTTTCTTCCTGTTAAAATGGAGTTTTTCCTTTCCACTGTCACTGCAAGCATGCTTAGTGTGAAGGATTGCCTTCAAGTCAATCAACTGGTTTTCCTTAGAAAACTTTGAATCAATATGACTTGGAAAAAAATATACATGTTTAAGCTAAAAGAAGTAAAGAGTTAAGTTAAAGCTGCAGCAAAACTTATTGTGTATATTGAAGAAGTATATGCTATGTATAATCTAAGGATAGGCAACAAATGTACTATTCACAGGTGTTAGGCCAAAGCTTGCAGAGGGAAAGATGAAATGTGAAGATAAGAGGGCAGAATGACACACACACACACACACACACACACACACACACACACACACACACACACACACACACACACACACACACACACACACACACACACACACACACACACACACAGAAAAGGCTGATTAACAAGGTAGAAGCAGAAAACAGGAAGCAACTTCATACATGGAGATAGGAATGTAGGGAGTGTCTGTTAGTTTGTTGATTACTAAAAAAAAAAAAAAAAAAAAAAAAAAAAAATATTGGCTCCTACAGCTCCTTTGTAGAAGTCCGTGTTTGCTTATTGTCGATATAGACGCGGCTTCTACCGCACGCATGAAAAGTTGAAATTTACAAGGATCCGTGAAGGCAACAGTTCGTGGAAACTTTGCGGTCCCTTCCTTTTTCTTTTCTTTTTTTTTTTTTTTTTATCTCTATAGAGTTTGTAAACATGACAGCAGACTGGAATACAATACGTGAACTAAAACTCAGCAAAACAGGAAAATGATAATAATAATAAAACTTGAGCATACCGTAACACAAAAATACCAGAGGTTTAGGGCTAAACCTCTGAGGAAACTTAATCACGTTTATAAAAATAAATCATGTTTTAAACCTGTGGTGGCTTATTTTCCTCAGAAGCATGCCATTCACAGCACCTGATTTACCTCAATGCTCTCTCAGACTATGAAATGCAGATAACAGAATATGTTCACACGGTTTGTATTGTTTAAGATTTGCTTATGAATATAATTATGAGAATTTAAGTCTTGGTGTTTATTACAGTTACTGTGCAGATACATGTTGTAGTTGGAGTTTTGTTCGGTTTACCTAAACGTAAAATTTCACTATTTTGATGCTGTAAACAGGAAATATCTTTGTTTGTCAGAACTCTCCCAAGCTTTAGCGAAATGTATGTGCTCAACCGATCAGATAAATCGCCTTCGGTCGTTAGGCAGATCACAGTAGCGCATGTTTGGCTGAAAGGCACACGCGCTCATGAGTCACGAGGAAGTATTCTGAAGAGGCGTTCACGCTTCTGCTTTATATAATATATTTAGAGAGGATATTTGAAGCTTAAAAGATTTGCCCTGGTTCTGATTAATTTCTCTGCTCCAAATTAATATATCAGTAGCCTATTTTTATCTTTTAATCTGACATTTGATTTAAAACAGGGGATTTTTTATTTTCCTACTGAAATACTTAGTTAAACATTTAGGGATCCTTGATGATTTTGTAAACCTTAATTCTTAGCTTTTAGCCCTTTAAAATGTCTCTCCCTATCAGATTTTCACATATAAAGAGCAAGCTTTCAAAAAGTAGCTGCATCCAGAGGCGTATCCAGAAAATCTTTCTAAGGGTGGCCAGGCAATAACCAATGTAAACTGAGGGGTGGTCGGAAGATGATTGGCGCTAGAAGCTGTTCAACTGTTCCAACAAGAAAATTAACGAGCACAAAGTCCATATTGTCTAAATAAAGACAAACTATACTTTCCTACAGCCTTTGCTAACAAATAAACGTATATATTTAAACATTTATCTAGATAAAATGTATAGTGGATACAATTCTTTCAGGTTTGAGTTCTTTGGTGAACATCTTTTCCATTGTCATTACTTTCATCAATAATCATTCTGCATAAATTTTATATTTACAAGTACTAATATCTACATAAATTGATTATATAATACATTTTTGCTAAAATTGTTATTTATGATTTCACTGAAGGATCCTAGATGATTTGCAGAGACATCGTATTCTCTTCACCGCATAAAACACAACATCTTGTTCTGAAATGGGCATGAATTCTGTACCTATCTTCTTTAATGTTAGTATATTGATGTGCATCATTAACCGAAGTTTTTTTGTCAAGTAATTGCTAATATATGAAAAATGTAAATGTTTTGAACATTCCACTTGAGAGTATTACTGTTGCAACTATCTGTATTAGAGGGGGGGAAAATGGCAGGGGTGGCCAATGATTTGCTAAGGGTTGCCAGGGCCACCCCTGGCCCCCCATCTAGCTCCGCCCCTGGCTGCATCTCCCCCATATTTACCCATACTTAAAAAATAATGTGTATTATTTAAGATAAACACCTAAACACCAAACAAATGTGGAAACATTTTGAAAATGTAAACTATTATCCCAGTACTTTCAAATTATGCACATGTGGTGTATTGAAATGTGAAGGAGCTTGTAATGGAGAACGGGTCTGCCAAATTTCAGTTTATAAAGGGAAAAGACTTTACTTTAAATGAGAAAAAAAAATCAAAATAGGAAACTTGCAGACTTTTGCCTTTTGACCTATTCTCAGTTTAGTTTTTAATGTTTCTCCCTTTTCTGGATATTTTTAGCTGCCTTAGAAATGTTTTTATTTATTTATTCTTGAATAAAGCTTTTAAATACTTAAATAGGTATTTTATTATAATTATTAAGTGGTTTTTAAGTGAATTTAAAATACTTAGCTACATCACTAAGTGTACCATGCTTTGTTTTTTATTTATAGAATAATAAATCAGTTTATTTATTAATCAAAAAAGGCATCAGAGACAAATACAAGTCAAAATTTCACATTTTACTTCACGATTTATTTTTCATTGGTGCAGTTTCATGTAGTTTTATTATAAATGGATCAAACATTGAAGTAATGTTATGGTAACAGTTTATTTATTAGAGGAAAATCTTCTTTATTGCCTTATGATGCTATGAGCAGCTTTCAGCACCCTTTCATTGAGTAAAATGCATTAGATACAACTGACTGCTTCTTTATGTCTGAATAAAGGAAAACAAACAAAAAAATCTTACTTCTGTTTAACCCAAGACTTGCATTTTTAATAAAACCTCTTAGAAACTTTGTTCCTTCTTAGTCCAATCTTTCCTCCCAGCTGAAACCTCTCTTTCTGCTTTCACCTGTCCTCTCTTCTCCAGCCTCTTCCATTACCCTTCCACCCCTTCTCCCCTTTTCTCGCCGACTCTTCCTCCCGAAGCGGAAACCAAATCCTCCTTTTTCTCGGCTGACAGCTTGAAGCCCTCCGGCCATGGAGGTTAGAGCGTTGTTCCTCTTCCAGCCTTCCTCCCCTTCTCCTCCTTCCTGATGGTTTCTGATCTCCAACGAGTTATCCCCAGCGAATGGGGAGAGCGGGAGCTCCAGGAGGTCTCCTCTCTGGGCCCTCATCAGCTGCATTTCTTCCCATGATTCATCTTTCTCCTCAGACTCTGAAAGAGTATTCTGAGGGCTTTGAGGCCAGTTTGACCAGTTTTTAGGGTCTTTGAGGTCCTGCAGAGGAGACTTGAGGTCATACAGAGGTGACTCTAGTTCACGCCTGTCCAGTGTGGGATAGAAGGCCAAGGAGGACAAAGGATGTGTGGAAACTGTTGGTGGGACTGGGAAGAGGAGTTCGAGGAAGAGGAGGGTGACCTGTGAGGCTCCAATACGGAAAGGCAGTCTCATCTACATGAAAACAGCAGCAATGAGCATGTTATACTGGGCATAAAAGCATGGGTTAAATAAAAAGTTAAGACTTTTTTTTCAGATTGGCTCAGTTGTATAAGAAAGAAAAGGCTTTGGTAGAAATTGTAAAAAAAATAAAAATAAAAGAGTAAACTTGAGTTATGAGAAAAAAAACGAAACAGGATTAGTTTTATTTCCTAATTAATTTTCAGCTAAAGCATTATTACTGTGATAAATCATTTGATGTGAGTCTAGGCTATAATAACCTAACAAAGTGTAAAAATATTTTTTATATTAACTGATTTAAAACAGGTTGAGCAAGCTTGAGAATGTTTCTAGAAATAGACAACTAAGTATCCTAATATGTTGTTCAGCCTAGTCTAAAACAACCCGAAAATTCAGAAAAAAGGTTTTTCTACATTAACGTTTATGAAAGAAAAGAAAATGTCTGCAGAAATCATAGAGAGCAGCAAAATGAGCCTTTACTATATCTAACATAAAGAGAGTCAGAATACAAACATTTATTTTAGTTTGTTTTTCAGTTTAAAATTGTCCTTTTTTTTCTTTTTTTTTGATCCAAATGATAAAATACTTTACATCAAGACTCAAAAAGCAAAATAGATCAATAGACAATTGACTATAGACATACAAATTTTTCTCTTCAACTCAGAAAGTACGCTAATTGAACAGACTGGTGCATAGTAAAGTTCTAAGCCTCATACAGCTAAAAGTATTCATTATTATATTTGTATTATTAGAATATTACCATTAAGCAAAGCAAAACCTAAATGCCTTTTCTTATGAGTGCAATTAGCAGAATGAATCATGATGCATTCACCCGTAGAAAAGAACCTCTTAGACTGAAGAAGCAGTGCTCATATTTTTTCTGAAAAAGAAGCTTCCCATATGGGTGCAGCCTGGTGGCAGAACAGATGTGCTTGTCATCATTTTATATATAAAGATCTATGATCTTAAAGACAACATGAGGACATGCAGGAAAGGTTCATAAACATGATCCTGAGTAATTAAAATATCAAATTTTTTCAACTTACTGTGATTTTACTAACCACATATTTCTAATTTAAGTTGGAACTTGGTTAACTAAACCCCCATTCCTTTTTCTACTACTTCTTAGCTGCTCTGCACATCTTGATATACCATCAGGTATAAGATTAAAACAGGAGCTGAAACAATTCCCTCAACATATAAAAAACTCTTCCGACATGTTAGTCATTTCTTACCTTGTGTCTTGTCTGGCACCTTGTTGTGTCTTCTGTCACATTTGTTGCTTCAGACCTTTTTAAAAAGCACCAACTGATCTCCACCAGTCTGCCATCACAGATTGGTTCCTCCACCTTCTGACGCCCACTAACATATTCACCAAATACCTGAAACTGGATTCTTATTAGCTCAGCAACGTTTGTCCGGTTCGGCACGGAGGCCATTATAGCTGCTTGCTTGGCATGAGGGGAAGTGGACACAAATGATTCATTAAGATGTTTCTGGTTAGAACGAGTCTCTGGGATTTCTTTTATGGTTGTGGTTGTAATTAGCATCGTATCGATAGGAAATCACTAATGCATCTAAAGAATGTCTTAGTAATCCCCTCACAATTTCCGAGCTGAAACCAAACGAGGCCTTTGCATGAATGAAAATAACATCATTTATGTTCCCACACACCTTTAACTGTGAGTCAATAGGAAGCTTCAAGACTGAATTAAAAAAGGTCTTTTTATTACTTCTGAATCTCATTGTTAAAAAGGAAATGTTTGTGTGGCGCCAGGAAGTTGAGCATGTAATTGAAATGTATAAATCCCAAACAGGGCTATATCCAGCTGGGCGCCGCTAATAAAAGCATTGAGTTTTTGCACAGGAACAATAGATTCCACAGAGTCATTATTTGCTAACTAAAAACAGAACTAGAATTAAAGGGTTGTGTGTAAAGCTGAATTGATCTTAGTGTTTCAGGAGCTCGTTTTTATCTGTTAGCATCTGAAACTTGACTCTAGTTGTTAACACTTCTTCACTGCTTGCAGGATATAATTTCTGCTTTAGCTTCAGATAAAGCTGGATCTGACCCTGAAATAATTTAGCGTGAATGCCAATGTTGACTTACTAATAGCGAGGTTCATTCAAAGAGGCCAAATTCATCACTTATTCTGAGTTGGTGGTACTTAAACCTTCATCTTACCATCATATTCTTGTTAGTTTTTTTTTTTTGTTCTTGGAGCATTAGACTTATTTGGTGTTTTTTTAAATTGGGGTTATAATTTTGCATACTTAAAGTTAAATAGAAATCTGAATTAATGAGGCTTAAATGAGGCTTTTAGTTCTTTTTTTTCTGACCATTTTAAGTCTTAATGTTCTAGGGCTTTAAATTAATTCCAAAAGTGCAAGATGAAGAATTACTCTCTAGTTATTATTGAATGAATGCTCAGTATTATACATCTCTAGATTTAAATCATGAAAGTTTTGATTGTTTAGAACATGTTTTGTTAATTCTCATGGCCTAGTGTCCTGCAACTTGAAGTTGTGTCTCTGCCTTAACAGAGACAAGTAAGGTAGTTGTTGGGATCTGGAGCTGTACCACCTTCCTCCAGCAGAGTGCGCCGTGGGTCCTCCTGAGCTGAGCCTCCAACACACTTGTGGCCCATCTCATCATCAGAGGATCCACTGCCATATAACCTGCCTTCAGACCTTGCCTCAACGCCGCAGTGTTGATCTAGTTTGGTTAGCAACCTGAGCCTAGTAAACCTGAGAATCTTTGCTATCTCCAGTTGAGATAAGATTCTAACTCTTCCTTGTTTTTGCCTCACAGGAATCCTGTCTCTTCGTGAAGCTCTGGATGAGCTTAACCTGCCTAGCCTGCCCTCGTGATCCAAACCTGAAGACTCTTCTCTGGATTCCCTTGCAGCTCTTGGCTAAGAGCTGGAAACCCAAATCAAGGTCTGCCCTCAAAGTCAGAAGTAAGACGCTGAAGCGGTTATTGGACTCTGCTGAACAAACAGTCTCTGGACCCAACAGTTTCCTCTCTCAAAGAGAAACCCGGACTCCTTTAAGGTATTCATCAGCAAACTCAAAGACCAATAACTCATCAGTCCCTGTGCTAACTGAACTGTCATCCCTGCAGACTCCAGTGAACCTGCCCCCAGGCCCGAACCAGTTCCTGTGCAATATTCACGTGCTTGTGTTAACAATAAACCTTGTTAAACTTTTCATCAGCCTCCGTGTGTGTTCTGCATATTGGGTTTACTCAGTAACCAATCATGACAGTAGTCAGGTCATTAGCAGGACTGTATGCTGAAGAGTTTTAATTCACCTGTGTGGAAACAGAGACACACCTAAAAGGTGCAGGACACCCATCCTTGTAGTTGAGGAACCCTAGTTTAGACTAACTGCTATTGAAAGCACAAAATAGACTCTCTTTAAATTTGAATATAACAAATAAAGATAAGTAACTTTGCTTCAGGTTATCTTGTTCATTAAATGTTTGGTCTGTGCACTTAGGATTTGTTAGGTCCTGTTTTATAAATAAGGGCATGATTTAACATCTTTTCTAATCTTTGGAGGACCCTTTAGGCTTTTATTTATTCATCTTAATAACCCTCCAAATTAAGAGATATAAACACTTGAAATTCATCATTCTGTTAACAATCTCCACTCAGTTTTATTTAAATAGCACATCAAAATATGACTCAGGTGAAGACCTTCATGCTCTGTGAAAAGCTAAAACTTTGAAAAACATTTAAAGAAGAATGGAATTTAATATGAAAATATGAAAATGAATTTCTAGTTACTGAATTATTATTATTTAAGGGGGACAGATTTGCTCTCTTTTTAAGAACAATTTACAACATGAGTGGCAGCAATTTGGAGCTGCTATAGTTGAGCTGTTCAGACTTTTTTTTTTAAAGCATATTGAAATAATATAAACAAGTTTAAAAAAAACAGAGGTCTTAACTTCCAGCCCTTGAAGGCCTTTATCTGTAACTTTTAGATGTGTCTCTCCTTTAATCCACTGGACTCTAATATTAGCTCTTTAGCGCGACTGAGCTGTTGAGGAAGTTGAAGTATTTATTACATTGATGTAGGTCAAGAGATTCATATTTAACACCACACCCCCCCAAAGGATTTGAGTTTGGGTCAAATTAAATAAAAGTATTGATTGCAGCAGGTGGAGACGTCTGTGGTTTTAGATTTTGGTTTAATCGGGATATAACAAACATTGTGTAAGAAAGGTAGATGTATGCCTTTTAAGCAGCTAAAATAAACTTTCAATGTGTCATCAAAGCATTTTATTATCTTCAATTGAGAAATGTTATCTGTTGTTAACTGTTATCTAAGCTTTACACAATTATTATTAGCACTTAAAGGGAAAAGGTCATAGTATGTAGATGGTTTATGGACAATTCAAGTGAAAACAAACAATCAATAATAGAAGGATAAAACATTGATTTACAAGTGAATATATCAGAAAATAACTGGGGTGGTGCATGCTCTTTGGCTTAAGCTCAAACAGGAAACAGTGAAATAAACCTTTAATAATATAAACTGTCAATTAGACGAAATATTTCTAATGACCTGTCTAAGGGAAAAGCTCAGATTGCAACATATTGTTAATGATCCCAATACTCAACAAATCCCAAGGAACAACAACAAGGATGAGTTCCAACAGGCAGGCTGCTGATTCATTAGATGGAATTAGGTTAACATATTTCCAGCTTACAGAGAATGCATAGACTTCAGAGTGAACCAAGGCAAAAAAACAACAAACAAAAGGAACCTAATAAAGATCAATCAAACCAAATGACAACTCATCTTCCTAACTACATTATCAGGAGAAAACCATAATGCACCATAAATGGCGATTCAATCCTACAACCTCCATACTTTAACAATGCACAGCATTTCATTCAGAACAAGCAAGGTGCAATAATGTGGCTGGTTGGGATATACACAGAAGAGGAATGACAATCAGCATGCGTCAACGTCTTTTATATGCATCTCTCACATCGGCCCACAAATCCGCTGTCGAAATAGCACGTCGAAATAGCACGTCAATAAAGATGACAGACAAGTGGCTTATCCAATCATATGCAAGGAGTTTTGATAAGGCCCAGCCTTCAGTAAAGGCAATTCCTATGGCGGGTTCCCAGATGTATGTGAGTGGAGCTAGGTGGAGCGAGACATGCATCTGGCTGTTGTCAGGTTACATCGATACACCTCCTGTGCAGTTCCTCATTGCTGGTTTCGTTGTTAGTTTGCCCCTCATGTGTGCTTTTCCCTGGTGCCTCCTGGTTTTTGGTTTGGAGTGATGGTGAGATTAAGTCTCATGAGGCATTGAGCAATTTGTTTAATGAACCCCACAGTTCATGAAGCTTCATGTAAAAATGTCACCACCTACTGGTGGAGTGCAGAACTACAGTTAACAATATAATCTTTGATTTTTTTCAATTGTTTTTATTGTTTTGTTTCCCCATTTGAGTTCCTTTGAAATAGTTCGTGAGTGATGTGTATAATAAAATATTTTGAAAGGTTTTTTTTGTGGGTAAAATGTTTGTGGGTAATACTGTTTTTCTGTCATTTTAGTGACATAAGCTCAAGTAGACAGTGATAGTGTACAAACTGGGCAATGATGAGCAAAATGAAAGCTGTTAGTTATTTTTATATATATAAAAAAAGTTTTTCCACAGTTTTTGTTTTTAATCTGGTTGGAAATTATGTGTTTTTACCTTCCAAAAAAGGTTAAAAAAAAATAATAAAAAACACTGGACTTTGTTTTCCAAGTCTGAAGATGTTTCACTTTCCATCCAGGAAGCTTTTTCTATTCTAAATGTCTGGATTAGCTTTGAGTTCCAAGCTTTATAGAGTAGCCCAACAAAGCTTTGTTATGGCTTAGAAAACATGCAAAATTTTGACTTTTATAACGGGCTCACATCAGTTATGTCCTTGGAAAAATGAAAATATATCTCAAGGAATAAACTTGTCATCTTCCAAAACATTTGGACAGTCTTTCAAAATGTACCTAAAAGTGTAATTAATCGGTTACAATAATGTAAAAGCTTAATGCATACAGGTGTAAACTTGATGTTGACTACTCTCCGTAGGTGTTTGTATCTTTGTTTCGGTGACTAAGTAGGTGACTAAGTAGTAAATTGCTCTTTTTTTAAAAATAACACACATACTTTTTTTTTTTTTTTTTTAAAGAATAGATTCCACTCTCAATAATGTTTTACTTTAGCCACCTGTCTAAGTTGGATAAAGTAAGACTAAACCTCTGATTTGATTTGGGCTTCAAAGATAAGATCACAGTCTATTCTTAAAGCGGCAGATGGCGGCTCACACTGAGCCTGGTTCTGCTGGAGGTTTCTTCCTGTTAAAAGGGAGTTTTCCTCTCCACTGTCGCTACAAGCATGCTTAGTGTGAGGGATTGCATCCGAGTCAATGAGTCGATGCAATCAACTGGTTTTCCTTCGATAGAAAACTTGACTGTATGATCTGGTCGAACTGTAAAGGGCCTTGAGATGGCATGTGTTGTGATTGGTGCTATAGAAATAAACTGAATTGAATTGAATTTATCCAAGGTCTGTTAGTCACTGACTGAGATAAAAGGCATTTGTTCATATTCGGGAAATTACGTTCTGTATTTTTTAAAGTACGGTAGTGACCTTGCAGTTAAATTTATAGCGATAGAGTAATTTTTAAAATGGAAAGCTTTGCCTGTTTTTAGAAAATTGACCCAAAAAGTAGTATCTACAGAGAGAAGAAAAGGTGTGAAGAACCAGGCTTTGAGGCACTTTGGATGAGAGAGGTGCTGTATGGGACTCAGACATGAACACAAAAACCTCTAGAAAATAGCTCAGCCAATCTGGAGCAACATCTGTACACCCATCCAGGTCTTTAGAGAGAGCAAAGGCAGCTCTTTTGGGAAAATCTAAAAAGCAAGGCAGAACTGGAGCTGGATAAAGCAGGAACAAGCATCCTTATATAAGCAGCTGTACTTCCTATTGTGATTAGATGGTTGAGTTCAGACTAATTAACAGCATCCAAGCATGTGCTGGTGATGGAAGAGTAAAAGGAGGAGATATAGGGGAACTAATACTCACATTCTTACTAACTCAGTGCAGCACTCTAACCTGTCCCTTTTTCATTTAGGTGGCTCTGAAAAAAGGAGCCATAATCTGAGAGGTCAAGTTAAAACAAGAAGCCCCAGCATCTAACTTCTCCAAACAATCTGTGCAGTTAAGTGATAAAAAGTAGAAGTTGCAGAGAGAAGAGGAATTAATAAAACAGTAGGGCTGCTGAAAAGCACAATGTTTATTTATAAAAGAAGGCAAGGAAACACATCAAATAAAACCGGCAAATGGTCTGAAAATCCAGCATCGCAAACTTTCAAATTAAAAACAGATAAAATAAGATCAATAGTGCATCCATTTTCTTAATCAGAACCACACACAACCTCTATAAATTATCTAGCAATTTATTTTAAATTTGGGACCAATATGTACCATATAGAAATATGGTAAATCACTCAGATGAAGACATTTCATGATTATTTCGATTATTGAGTTTTGATTAAACAAAAAGCTTCACATCACCTGTTGGAGGGTTTTATGAAAAAAAAAAAATTATTTAAAAAAAGAAATTGCTTCCATAAAGAACCATTTTACCTAATTGCCACTATAGGATTTCCTGACTGACTTGCAGCTAAAGAGAAATAGTCACACAAAACGTGCAAAGAAAATGTCGTGAAACAGCAGGTTATAATCTACAGGGGCACCGCCAGGAATTTGGGCCCCATGAAAGACATATCTTAGCCTGGGTGCCATTCCGAACTTATTCCCGCCCACAAGGGTTGAGGTCGGGAGGTTCGGTCTGGCATTGCTCAATAGTAGCGCGAGTATGATCGCCCACTCTCTGGCGATCCAATCAAATTGTCAGGGCGGGCTTTATACGATGATGGACAGATGATCAACAGTAACGTAATCAACCATATGACCAAAGCGCGCTTGGGTGACAACAACAATGGCTGCCGCAGGAGAGTTGAGGTGAGTAGATTCTGCTATTAGGTCTGTTCTAGAAGATATCGACAGCAAATTAATTTTAAAAGAGGAACAGAGAAACGCGATCAAGGCTCATCTTCTTATTCTAGGCGTGGAAACTTCACGCTTTGATTTTTGTTGACAACAACTATGCGTCGCTTAACATACGTCACGCACTCCGTTGCTCTTATTGGTTGTGGGTCTATCCAATTGAGTGCAGAGGCATTTTTTTCCTGGTTCGTTCAAAACACGCCCCATAATCACAGCTCTATGGAGCAGTATCAGATTCATATTCTGACTAGAATTGAGTAGGACTACATCAGGCTAGACATATCTGGTCCCCTCTAAAAAAAATTTATGCAAGCTTTAAAACTGCTTTGAAGATGCACTGAAGAGTATCATTTAAATTTTCAATTGAAATTTTATTGTAAAATTTGTAAAATTATCAAAGCATGAAAAAGTTAAATATACATTAACTGGTGGATAAAAAACTTGGATAGTTTATTAAATTATTTAATCATGCTTTGTTTCAATGTTTACTGCTGAAAATAAGGGAAAACACAAATTTATTTTACTGCTGGATTCTCTTTTTATATTTGAAATTTCTAATTGGACATATCATTTCTTCTTCTTTTGGGCCCCACCTCAATCAAGGGCCCTCAGAATCTTCCTAACCGTTCCCCCTATTATTGTGCCCCTGATAATCTAGACTAACATATCTATGATACCTAAAGCAATCAATGATTCTCCAAACCATTTTGGAGCCCAAATGATTCTTGAATATCAACCACACCATGCCCTGTCTCTTTCTCTAAGACTAAAGATATTTATCTGAATCCAAGATGTTCTTGCATCTACGGTTTGACTTCACTAAAGAACCACCAGTCAACTGTAATTTGGTATGAAAGTTTGCGCATCATCTTCTCTCTCTACTCTTCCCTCTGCCTCCCTGAACTCCAGATGGGGCTCCAGAGTTGGGATGCAACCAAATGCACCCTGGGGGTCGTAGTCCAGAAAAAAATTGGGGCTTTGCAACATTTGACATGACTGGGTGACAGCTGGGCTTTCAGACGGTTCGTGGACTGAACCAGTGAGCAAGGAGAGCTGTAGCTGGTCGATGGTGCTGGTGGGAAAAGGGGACTGGTCTAGAGGAGAGCAGGATAGTGATGAAGGGGTGGCTGCCATGGTAACAGCCCCTGGGGGAGCAGAGGGGGAGTTGGCCTGGGAGTCCTCCGAGTTGAGGGAGCGCCTCAGTTTGGCCCGAGCATTCTGAAACCACACCTGAGGGAATATTTTTGAAGGGAGGAAAGCTTATGGAAGATGATTACAAAAAATGAAAATAGCTACAAAGAAAGAAAATTATATGACATAAAGTTCCTACTATAAACTTCATGTGAAATCTCTAAGACTGAAAAATTGTCTTTAATTTTTATCATACAAATTAAATAAAGAAAATTGCATTTATATTTTCAGAGGAGGAATAAATGTGTACCTGCAGCACTCTCTTCGGCAGGCCAGTCTTATGAGCAAGGCAGGTCCAGTCTTTGCCATCAGGGTTGTGTTTCTGGGCAAAATACGACTCGAGTGCTTTTAGCTGCTCACTGCGGAAGCAGGTCCTGATCCGCTTGGTCCGTCTGCGCGTCCGCCCACCTGCATCTCTGTCGTCCACTCGTGCTTCAGGACTGCTGACAGACTCCTCCCCTTCACCTGAGACCTGGCTTTGACCCGTCTCTGGTTTAATACAAAGATGTTAGAAATGGTTTTCAGAAACCTTTTTTTAGTTCATCGGTTTGGAGTTGAAGGATGTTTAGATATTATGGTTTAAAAATAGGCCTATTTCAGATGAAAGTTCCAGTTAACCCAAACACTTTCAGTACATGATCTACATTAATCGTCATGCCTCACAATTCAATTCAATTTCAATTCAGATTATTTATATAGCGCCAATTCACAACACATGTCATCTCAAGGCACTTTACAGTTACCAGATCACAATCACCTGACAGATGTTAATGCAGAAGAAAGAGCTAAAGTTGACCCACCGCTGTTATATATGGGTGAACTACATCTACGGATTGTCACATTGTTTTGCTGAGCATTGCATGAGAAGGTAATTTCTGAACAAAAACAAGTCTAATTTCCTGATATGATAAAAATCCTATATATATATATATTCTAATGCACAATCAAATGCATATTCATTTTTTGTATTTATTTTGTAGGAATAACATTGCACAACAGAACATAGATATATTGTAGATTGCCGTAAATATGCCAGAACTCAGCCAGCTAGTCAATTTTACAGAACATTGTATTGTAAGAATGGGGACAGCATTGATGTTTGTTTGAACTATTAACTGCAACTATAGACTGAATAGCAGCACAGACCTTAGCCAGATGTTATATAAAGTAAAAACAGAGGTGGGCAATAAGTCGTAACATTTACCATGATGAATTTTTACAAAAATATATTCTAGCAGTTGTACTGCACCATATTTTTCACCTTTACTTGAATAACAGTCCTGACAGAAGATTTGTACTCTCAATTGAGTGAAATGTTAAGCTGATTAAACCATGATTAACCATGTTTTAAAAAAGTTCACCAGATGAACACAAACAGTTACTGTTTATATCAAAATGAGTTTTCCTTTTCTTTGAACCTATGCCTACGTGAACCTCGACATTTGGGGGTCAGGCTAACATAACAAGTTCATATTGTCCATGGAAGAAATGGTTTCATCCATTTTATGTGAAAAAGAAAATTGGTTTGGAAAAGTGTGTTTCTACCTGATTGTTTTTGTTACATTTTTTGTTTATCTTAATCATCTAATTTGAGATTTTAAAGTACCAGAATTTTCACAAAACTTTACATTTTTGTCTTTGTTTTTATTAGACATCTGATTTTACATATCAGATGTTGTTGTTACTTCGTTATTAGCCTTAAGGCCTAATAGCCTTTTTACCAAGACTATTTCACTTTTACTTGAATATGAATAGTAGTGTTGCACCGATACCGATACCAGTATCGGACGGGGGCCCGATACTACCCTAAAATGGTGGTATCGATATCGGCGAGTACCAACAAATAGGGCACCGATACCATTTTGAGAGCCATAAGTTTATTCAACTATTGTCACCCAGTCCTGGTAGGCAATAAAAACTTTTTATTTTTATTATCCAGTAGAACTTTTTAATAAAAAGTTCTACTGGATTCACTTTGTATTAGATTTTTTTCCTGCTTCACAAAGGTAGGCAGCAGCTTGACAAAGCCATGATGGCAATTATTTTACATTATTATGGTATCGGTATCGGCCGATACTGCACAGCCAGGTATCGGGTATCGGTATCGGGGCCTAAAAAAAATGGCATCGGCGCAACACTAATGAATAGTGAAGATTATAAAGAATTGTTGGTCTTAGTTGAGTACAATTTTTGAGTACTCTGCCCATGAACAAATGGCAGACACATGTTGTTAGGTGTTGTTGCAGTAGGGTTAAATTAAATACCATTGCACCTTTGAGTCTGCAATTTAGCTGCATAATTTAGCTAAATGTCCACACTGAGTTGAACTATATGTTGTAAAAGAAAAAATTATCTGCAAAGCCTAATGTAAGTTAATTTACAGTTAATATTTCTTTAACATCTAATAGTTAGCTTGACCCCAGATCAATAGATGGGTGTTGGCCTCACCTGGACTTTGCCTAGGTACCTCTTGACAGGCTGATTAGGGAGGCATGACTGCTAATGCTGGCAAATAAGTATGTAAACTACCGGTATCACTGTAAGATTTACAGTGCAGAGGTTTAAGCCAGTATTTTTTTGTTAACCCTCTGGTGCATAGTGGTCACTGTAGTGGACAGCTACTACTGTACAAAGTAAATATCTCTTTGATTTTATGGTTTCTATAGTGAAACCTTACCGCCCAGCAAACACATATAGGCTCCCCTTTGTAAGACCCTTCCTAAGTACACTTCAGGAGACATTCAAGGCAGCAGCAGATCCTGAGGAATTTCAGTCACTTCAGTAAGCTATGAGTATCATTGGTTTCCTTATTCGGTTCTTAACATTGTGCCTTTATATTGTAAAAAATTAAACAAAACATGTTGAAATATTTTTCAAAGCATAAAATGAATCAATGGTCTGCATTTTTTACAACAGAATACTAGATCATTATTTTTTTTAATATATTCATATTATTATATATTGAGTTCTCATGTGCGCATAGTCCACTCCAGTGGACATATCTGTAACTTCATGAAACAACAATATTTTTTGGGAAAAAAAAGTTAAAACATTTTTTTCATGTCCTAAGAATAAGAAAAAACCTTGAGATAAAAATCTTGATCAAGGCTTTCATAATTCATGCATCAGAGGGTTAAATGCCTCATTATGTCACCATCATATTCATCTAGCTGCCCGACTGCTAAAAGGGTAAACAATAGCAAATTTACAGAGACAACATCTCTGAATTACTGTTTCTAGTTGTTTGCATGGACACAATTTGAAACTTGAAGCTTAGGCACATGAAACATCCAGTGAGGCTTATATTCTTGTTGTGTAGAAGTAAGAATATACTTAGATTGACCAACTTTTTATTCCAGGCAGAGCAGATAAAAGGCATGGGTTTCAAGAAATGGAAAACATAACATTAAAGCTGTTACTAGGTTACATCTTTAAAGTTTTTCTGACATTTATTTGCATTGCAGCTGATTTTTTTCAGGCTGACCAACACTGACCTTCTTTCAGATGTGATTGTGAGGGGTCTTGCATCAGCAGATTTCCCCCATTGCCACTGTAATGTGACTGACAGTACAGATTTGGACCTTGCATGCAGTAGAGGCTCCCTGGCATTAATTTTAGATCACATTCCTGCAATTTAATGGTTTTAAAGTCATTCATTTATTTGTTACTAATGTTAAAACATTAAAGGTGTTTTTTTGTTTTGTTTTGTGTTTTACTAACCTGACAAGAGAAGCACTGAGGATGAAAGGTCAGCTCACCAGACCTCATGACCAAATCAGTGGGTGGGATTGGCTGAAGGCAGCGAGCACACTGGCCGCCTCCAAAAATCCTAATGAGAGGGAAACCAGATGTGAGAAACTGAAGTTCATATTAACTCAATACAGATGTTGGGAACTGTTTCAGCTTGGGGAATCATTTAGACCTGCTGTAGTCCTGCTGGCAGTAGATATTTCCATCCCTCCAAAAGAGGGAAGGGTGAGTCTGTAGCTCACAGTGGCACAGGCTGCAGCGGAGGCAGATGCTGTGCCACACCCTCCCTGCAGCTAATAGGAAGAAGCGATCGAACACCTGCTTGCCACATCCAGCACATATGATTGGCTCTTGAATAGACACAGTTGCTGGAACCTGATGAAGAAAGTTCTTATCATTGAAAATGAAAGATTAAGATTCTGTAAAATTAGGGTGACGGGAGAGAGCGTTCATAGACCTCTAAGAAAATCTGTTCAACAACTGTAAGAAAGATCTGAAGGCTTTAAAATCAATAGAGTTGTTTTATTATTAAGACATCTGTTAATAATTTTTTTCACAACAAAAAGCAAATAAAAGCAATTTTTTTTTCTACTCCCGAATTGAACTACAATGAAGTGTTTCATTATGTTTTATAAAGTGTCAGTCTCATTTCCCATTAGAAACAAACTTCATAGCATTTAGCTTTACTTAGCTTTAAAAAAAAAATAAAAAAAAAATAAAGCCATTGCATGTTTTTAGTCCAAACAAAATGTAATCATATTTTAAGAATCAAAAACATCTTTCTGCTCTATAGTCTAAACAATTTCTGTGGTGCTATTTACCTGTCATGGTGATTGTAAAAATCTTTTTTTTTTCGCTTTATATTGCTTTTTAAAAATATGAAATGCACAGTATCATATAGTCTGTATTACAGTCAAAAGAACATATAGGAATTAAGGTAAAAAAAAAACTAACAATGTTATTGATCTGCTTAACAGTGCTTGGAAGCATTTAGTTGTACTGTAGCTTTCTGTCAGGATAACAACTAGTTTTTTTTTTTTTTTTTACATAATTTTTTATGTAAATAATAGTAAATGCTTAGCCTATATCAATTGTACCCAAAAAAGTATAAACCATAAATAATCTTAAAACAACGCCAACAAACAAAAAGTTGGCTGCTTGATCTGTACTCTATTATTTCATGCATGAAAAAAACAAACCAAAAGGAAAACAATTTAAATCTGATGTAAGCAACAAGTCTGAACATAACTGTATAATGAAAGCATCATAAATGTTGGGTTGACAACATTTTTGCTTGTTTTTATGTTCTTCTTATGCTGCAACTTGAATGCAGCACAAACAAGAACTACAATATCTGTAAAAAAAAAAAATATATATATATATGTCTAAGATTTCTATTTATGCTCATGGAAATGTAGATAAAATATGTTGTAATCACATTTTCTGGAGCAACATTCTCTTCCACCACTGTTGGGCCTCCTGCCAGCTCCACCGCCTCCGTCTTGTCACCGATGTCGCTGCCATACAGCAGATCCTCCAGGGTTTGGTCGTCTGGAGACATCATGGTTAAGAATTCTGTGAAAGCAGGAGGTAATTAGCAGGTTTCTCTCTGAGCTCAGCTATAAGTTGACAAAATGCAAAAATGTGCCCATTTTGTATTTTCACAATGTTGTGTGTCTCTTAAAAATATTAGCAGGCCGTTATGTTAAATATCTAAAATAATAAAAATTTAGATTTTCGTTTTGCCTTAATTCACTTTTAATCATCTGAACAAGGTGGTTTTAAAAGTGAAACATTTGACATTTTCACAGCATTGCATTTGTGTTCAACTAAATGTAACAGAACCAGTCTTTGCCTGCATGTTTGCAAAAAAGTATTTGTCTCATTTTCCACTTTAAACATGTTTGATATCACCATCAGATATGCCTAATCATAAATTAACACTGAAACAAGCAAAAAGAAAAATCACAACTTGAACCATCAAAAAATATTTTTTTTTCATGAATATGCAGGTTTCCTTACATGAAATATGATTCATTAATTCGTTAGGTTTTTCAGAAAAAAAGATATACTGTATATATATATATATATATATAAATATGTGTGTGTGTATATGTCTATGTGTGTGTGTGTTGGTTTGTGATAACAGTTGTTGTTAAGCTCATAAAAAAAGCAACAAAGTTTATTTCCTTTTGATGATTAATGATAGCCTGCAATATTATTAGTTGTTGTTAAGTAAATAAAACATGTAAAGCAATAAAGGGTAATTTGTTTTGATGATTAATGATAGCCTGTGATATTATTAGAGGTTGTTAAGCCCATAAAACTTTTAAAGTAATAAACATTTTAACGTTATCAATAAACTAATACAGTACGTGATAAATAAGAGAAATAACCGTTAGCTATAAAATCAATGCCTATGAACATACAGCAGAAAACTTACCGATCTAGCTTATTGATTTGGTTCTTGCTTGTTTCCCCACTTTCCTCTCAGTATAAACTTCTGTTTCAGAATTCTCTCCAAGAAGTGAAAAAAGCAGAGGAAATTAGATTTCTTGTCTTTTCTTTATGATGTAAACATCCCTGCTTTGCAAGAATCGCTCCTATTTTCCCTCCAAACGATAAGCCACAGTGGTCCTCCTGATGCAGGTGTCCTTGCAGCCTCCTGTTTCGTGGTTTTGGGATGACCTTACCTGCAGTCTGCCTCCTCACCATAATATTATCCAACCACTCTCCCAGTTTCAGATAACTCAGCAGTCCCAGGTGACAAGCACCTGTAAACAAGGAGCCCAGCTGACTCAGAGATCACCAAACAAGCATTGTGATTGGCTGCCTGGGGAGCAGGTGAGCGGGTGGGGTAGGAACTTTTACACTGGGGGCCAATTAAAAAAAATAAACCCAAACTGTGTTTAAAAGGACATCTGGGAGAGGTGCTGAAAGATAAAAATACAGGTTTACAGTTTAGTTTTTGTTAGGTTAAAAATCTCATTTTGGTGTTGGCTTTTAAAAATAACAAAACTAGCATGTCAACAGTGAGAGTCTGAATTAAAAAAACAAAACAAAAACTTACTGTCATAAAATGCCCATGTCTCTCTTCCAGCGGATGCAGTAATAATAAATATAATCCTTTTTTTTTTTTTTGCAAGGTATCATATCACACTCCCTCTCATTACCCACTCATTTAAAAAAAATTTAAATTACCATTTTTACTTTGTTGTGATTAATCCCAGTTCTCAAAACTATAAGCCATTCTACAATGAAAGGTAAATAAGCTCTTTTGACCTTTTCAACTTCCCCAAGCAACTGCATCCTGAGGGAGCTGAAAATGTGTTTATACTTGATAACAAAATGCAGAATAATTAAGACAGAACAGGTTTTATTTAATTAATTATTTCTACAATTCACATTAATCCCTAAAGTGGGAAAAAAAAGAGGTGGCAGTAAAAAAATTACAAATGACCTTGGGTGTTATATATTCAGCTTTACCTTATGCAGAGTTTAACTATGAATGTTCTGGTTCTCAAAAGTGAAGGGAAGTGACATTAAATTCATCTATAATGCATAGATCATTCTTAACTTATATGAACACAGCTTTCTTGGAAACTCCAATTTCTCTTGAGACACTTATTAAAAAACTATGTAAATGAAACTTTAGTGCAAAGAAAACACTCTATAGAGCTGTAGAAAATTCGAACTCAGATTGGTTATGTTTTCATATAAGACGTTTGCATATTTGAATCGTAAGACTTAGAGAAGCATTTTTTTCTAAAGTAAATTCCCAGACCTGGCTAAAATATCCCAGTACCTTTTGGGAGAAAGTGTTGTTCACTCATGAAACCATAATTAGAGTTTTAAGTCACACTTTCAAAAGATGTTTTTGCCAAAAACAAAACCGGGTTTAGTCAAAGTGATAGAAATGATGAATTGTTATACATGTCTGATCTCAAATCTTCATCTATGTGCTATGTGATAAAAATATAAAATATTACAGTTATCTCAGTTTCTTTAAAAGGTTTTGTTTAGTGGTATAAACACTTCTGTAACCAGCTTATGGCAATTTTGCAAGTTTTGATTTTTTCCAACGATTTAACTAAAGGAAAAATAGTTTTTAAAAATAATCTAATCTTCTGTAGATCTTTTATCATGTGGCTACACAATTTCTCTAAATCGTCCAGAGACCCTTTCTACCCTTCTGTTTTGTCATCACACAGGTTTCCTAAGGAATGAGATACTGACCTAATAAGAATGATTTTGGGTCTGATGAGCCATATCTGTATTCCATTTTGCATGTTTTCAAAACAAAAACAACGCTTTGATGGGTTACAACTTAAAACTTCAAACTTCAAACTCAACGCTATTCCTGACATTTGGAACTGAAAAAGCTTCTTGGAAACAAAGTCCAGTGGATTGTTTTTTAATTTTCTTTTTTTGGAATGACTATGACCTGGATGATGTATTAATTTGTCCAAACTGTTAATTATTATCAAAAATTCCCAGGAATCCATGGAAAAAACTAAACAAAAAACAACATTTCCAGGTCTTTTGACAAAGAAACGGACCTATCATGGATCCTCCAACATTTAGAACAGGGTGGTTAAAGGTAAAGATAACGGTTTCGTTTAAACTCATCTGACATGCAAACAAATGAAAACACACAAAAAAATTAAAGCATTTTGTGCAAGAACCAATATTTTATTTTAAAGATGTCAGAAAGTGAAACACATTTTAAGACCAGTAGAGAAACTCTTCAAGTTTCAGATTAAATCGTTTTATTGTTGTAATCTTTGACAAGGCACAATAGGGAGAAAAACCAACGTTAAACAAAGATGCTTTTACAAAAAGACAAAGAAAAACAGAAAGACAAACACAGTGAGGACAGTGATGCACCTGTCATGGCAGCTGAACCACAGCAGGTGCATCACTGAGAAGCCACAGACCTAACAAAGTGGAAAATGACCAATAGGGGGCAGTGCTGAGCTTTGAAGCAGGGCTGATCAGATGAGTTTCAGAGATGAATACTGAATCCAATTAGAAATAAACAAAATATTTTTTGATTGGCTTTTGATTGAAAAAGATACATATATTTATATTTTCAGTACTGTAACAATCAGGTTCTAAATGTTCAGAGTAAAAGCACATGCACAGACATACTAATAAACTTATTTACAGAAAAAAAAGAGTGAACAAAATAAAAAAACATTTAGCTTTTAATGCTGCAAACAGAACAATATATAAACAGAACCGTTAACCTAAAACTGCAGCCATTGGGAACACGTGATTCCATTTTTTATTACCAGCTTTTTATTGCATATTTTACATGAACTGTCAGTTCTGGAGAGAAGTTCAGTAATGGGCGTTACCCCAGCCTAGTGTAGATTTAGTAATGACATATATTTCTATTTTATTTTTATGATGAATTTAAGGTCTCCAGTCCTGCAGAAGCTTAAACATCATTGAACCTGGTCTAAATTGGTTGTTTTTCAGTTTATTCTCCCAAACTTTTTGAGGTTTTTTTTGCCTTCTGTTTTTCACTGTTATACTTTAAAAACCCATCAGAATGTCGTCGTAGCTCTTGTGCTCTATTTAGTTTTCAAATTTCCGAAAGCTTATAATTAGTTTGAATATTTACATGTATGGAAACCGGAAAAGAGGAGTGAATTTGAAGAAAAAACCTTTGCATCGAAATGCCAATAAAATTGCCAATATCCAATAATAGCTATTAAATATCTAATATTGTTAGTATTAACTTTATTTATTTATTTTTTTTAAATTGGGGACTAAAACCTTTAAAATATGCTGATGTTTTGTCCTGATCAGAAGAGAGGCGTTTTAGGCTATTCCATAAATTATGTATCTTTTTAATGGTGGCCAAAATGTTTGACAATAAATAGAAAGCACCGATATTTTTTAAAGTTACTAAGACACCATCATTCTATATTTATTATGACTTCCTCAAACACTGACTCTGCTCTTTTAGCCGTTATTTGTCGTATATGTTTGGATTCTAAAACTCTTAGGCAATCATAAATTTTTGCTAATGCAAGTTTCTCATCAATTTAAGGCAGAATCTTGATATTCTGTCAAGACACTTACTGGATGTTATGTTACTTTTACATCTTTATCTCATCTTAAAGTACTTTACAGTTTATCCTTTTTTATTTTTTAACATTCATAAAGATATAACCTTGGCCAGTTTACGATTCTACCAATTAGAAACACTAGTCTTGCATCTCTAAATAATTTAAAACTGGAATCCAAAAGTGGCTGCTTATGAAGGTACCGGCTTTTAACTCTGATCAACTGTTTCTGTAAAGATAGAAACTCCACAGCATACAGTTGAACAATGATAACTGACTTTTTACAAATAAAAAAAAAAGAACAAAAAAGCTCTTATTCTATTCTCAAATGAGAGCAAGGCTTTTGTTAAAATATTTGTGTACATACATTGGCACTTTATTTATAATATATCTTCATCCTTATTCTCACTTTGCTCTGCTAACTGTAGATATGAAGGATGCTGGTCTCATCTTCATCTCTGTGAACTGGATGGAGTGGTCTTCTCCTTTCCAT